GGTTGGTTTGTTGTTCTTGGAAACACACCTGGAGACTTATTTGATATTGGGTTAGATACCAAAGATGATGTTAAACATGGAACTGAATGTTATCCTTTTGTTGAACAAAACTTGGATGAGAATATCTCCAGTACCTACGCTTAGTGGGTCCGCGAAAATGTTACTAAAGATATTTACGAACTATGATTCCGTGCATCCATAATTTGTAATTCGAGTATTTAAGATATAATATAGTAAATAATGTCACATTCGCTATTGTATAATTATTGTCTTCTAAATCATACATTATATTTTGATTTAATTAAATCGATAAGTTCTTTATATATCGTAGGTTTTGATTTCTTAAATTGATAATGTCTTTATATATCTTCTGAACTAACATTTTTTCTATATTCACTTTTATGATGTAGGTAAGCTACAATACAGAGAAATAGGTTGAAGGAAAACATATCAGATATATTAGTTCAAAACTGTCTGCGGCACCTGTAGATATTGGCTATGGATTGAATCCTTCGGAGGTAAATAAACGAACTATTGGATCTAACTCTATCACTTCTAATCCTTCAACTGATATTGGATTTGGTAATACGGGAGGTCCAAGTTTAGATAGTACCCCACCAATTGATTATGCTTTAAATTTGAATGTAGGTATGATATACTCCAATTTTAGAATTCGAATATAATGATAAAAATATTACAATTTTACAAATATATTTTATATTTGTTGCAATTGATAACAATGGTCAACAAGGATTAGAGGCAGATAACTTTGAAGGAATTGTTTGCACTACCTCCTAACGAACGTATTGTAGTGTCTGCAAACTCTAATAGGCAACCAATTAGTGAAGAGGCTCAACTATTGGCTGGATTTCTAGGCATGTTAGCCAGTAATGGAATGAAATTGCCTATTCATTATGAAACATGGCATAATGTTTCAGAAGAAGTTAAAGCTGATGCGTTAAACTTAATTGAGGTATTAGTATATTTAATTAGATATATTCAAATTTTTTATTTTATATTTTGTTTACTTATTCAAACTTTTCTTATTGTATTATTACAGTTAAGATTTCTACTTGAAATATTTCATTTGTACTTAAGTAATTGGGAAAGAAATGGAAAGATTATAAGCATAGTTTGAAGAATAAGTATTTCGATCAAAATACTACTGTAGAGGCGATGATGCAAAATCTACCCTGTAATGTGATTAGGTGGCAATATGAACAATTGGTTAGATTTTGATTCTCAAGAAAAAGAGAAGTACTAGTTTATAACTTTGTATAATATAATGAAATGATGAAAGTGTTTGATGGTTTCAGTTAGTAATATTTGTATTTCTATCATATACGTAATTATTTTTTATGACAGGAAAGAGAACAGATTGGGATTGGTAGTAGAAAGCAATAGAAATATAGCCACATAAGTGGATCAAAAAGTTTTACAAGAAAGTAAAAAGAAATCATAAGTTTATGATAATTAACTTATTCCAATGAATGAACTTTTTCTGCCGTTGAAAGGTAAATATGGAATTAACATTTATTGTTTTGTTTGAATAGATTTGATTGTTTCAATACATGATATTAAACTTATCGAAAGTTTTAAACTTAGTTACACAGATGATATGTATGAAAAGTTACTGTTTACGCATATTTACGCCTCTAATATCTGGTTGTTGTTATTGTTATATTTTAACAGTTTCGATTGCTTCAATACTTGATATTAAGTTTGTCGATTGATTGAACTTGGTTTCTATGGTTGATATGAGAGAAAAAGTTGTCAGTTATGTTTGTTTGGGAATATTTTTTTATAAAAGGAAATATAAAAATAAATTTTGGATGCCTTTCAACATATTGAATGACTTCAATCCTTCATATTAAACCGAGAGAAAATAATTGAAATTGGTTTCATGATCGATATGTGTGAAAGCCCAAAATGCTTTTATTTTTTGCATATGTTTAAGACTATTGTGTTATTACATGGTTAAAATATAAATAAAGAAGATTAAAATTATTCAAATTTTAATACTTGATTGACAGGATTTATATGCATAAATAAGTTACAATTGATATGTATCCTATCAAATAACATATGTTTTTGTATAGAAGAATAAGATGGGTGGTACAATTGGACGTGTGAAACTTTTTCGCTTAACACACACAAAAAAAGACAGATCTTATATGAATGTTGAAACACAAGAAATTATGGTAATTTGTATCATATATTTTAACATAAAATAAATATTTACTCTTTTTAATATATAATCAATTAATCATTAAACTTGATAGTTGTATATAACAAATTCATAGAAAAAAGTGAAAGAGAAAATAGTTGCTAGATTGAAGTAGCATCTGAAGGTTCTCTCAACATGCAAGAAATAGAAAATTGAATATTCATAGAAGTTGCTGAAAAAGAAAGGCATGGACTGGTCCGAGGCCTTGGATTGGGTCCAACACCATCTGCCTACTATGGACATAACTCTCCAAATTTACACTCTTAGCAAGTCAGTCTTCGTGAGACATTTCAATATTGAGAGGGGAGTTACAAACTATGCAACAACGTTTTCAACAAATGAAAACAGAAAGAGAATAAGAGCGTGCCAAAATTGAAGAAGAACGTGCTAGAATAGAGCTAGAGCGTACAAAAATTCAGCAATTGCATGATCGATTCGATCATCTTATGAATTTTGTGTAACAACAATTTTCAGGAAATGATCTTGGTGCTCCATCAACTCAGGTATTATATTTAGTAAATATTAAAATTTTAAATAAAAAATAAGTATACAATGAAGTTTTAAAAATTGTATGGTATTATTCAGTAGGTTGTTGAGCACGCTAGTGACTAAGATAAAAAATTTTCTTCATCAATTGGCAGTCAACAAAATGTATGTAGTCATCCATTTCATATATTTTAATTTTTTATTTGGTTAATGTATTTACAATATTTGAATATTATTATATTAATTATTAAACTTTGTATTAATTAGATGTATATTTAAACGTGAATAAAGTTAATATTAATTTCAGTTTTTGAATTTAAACTCTTTATTGAAAATAAAATTTATTATAAGAAATTAAAAATATATATATTTTTACATAATGGCAGCGTTTACGTTGGGCAATACTGCTAAATGAATAATTTAGTGACTTTTGTAACATAAAATACCACTATAAGTAGTGACGCTCTTTCTAGCAAACGCCGCTAGTTAGGTGATTTTTTTTATAGAAACGCCACTAAAGCAACATCGTTTTTCTCATAACAACACTACTGAATTAGTGACGCCTAAAAAATAACAAACATCACAAATATTGAAGCGTTTTCAGATTTAAACACCTCTAAAGTAACGACATTTTTTATTACAAAACACCGTCAAATGGCAACGATATTTTTTTCATAAAAAATATCACTGAAATAACGACGACTAAAAATATAAACACTACTAATATTGAGCCGATTTTTAAATTTAAAACGTCTCTAAAGTAACGGTATTTTAAAGAATATAAAAACTTTTAAATATAATTGATATTTTTAGATGAGAAACACGTTAATATTAAAATATTTTTTCAAAATATAACTATTTATCTCAACACGTGTACGAACTACACTTTACGTAGATATTTTTTCACAAATGTAATAAAATTTTATTAACACATTAATAAACGTGATTAAATAATAATAAAAATTACTAAAAACTAAAACTCTTGTAGTGACGAGACAAGAGATGCAGTATGATTTTTCCTTTATTACACGTATGGTTCCATAAATGCAAAATAAGATCAAATTATGAGAATCCAAAACTTTCGTCTGTGCCATGTCA